CTCCTAGTGATCCTGTACAGGGTGTCCGAGGCTGTCAATCTTTACGGAAGCAGAAAGCCTCATCTTTCTCCTGTGGAATCGCTGGTAGTTTCAAACTGTTGTCCTTGAGATTAGCAACCCAATTCATAACCACTACGCTACCAGAGCTCCTTCAGAAACCCTATGCAGAGTCGTTATAAGTTGGAACTGACTTGATGGCACTTAACAACAATAATATATAGATATAGATAGATAGATAGATTAGATAGATAGATACATAGATACATAGATACATAGATATACATACATACATATATATGGAGCACAGTGGCTCTGTAGGATAAGCACTGCACTGCTAACCACAAGGCCAGCAGTTCAAGCCCAAAAGCTACTCCCTAGGAGAACAATGAGGCTTTCCACTTCAGCAAAAAAGATTTATAACCTTGGAAACCCTATACAAGGTCACTATGGGTCGAAATTGACTCGACAGCACTTAACAACAACATGAATTGGAACCAACTGGCTGGTACTTAATAACAACATGTCATATATAATTTTTCAAACTACCATAATTACCAAAAAGCAGAAACATCATATATTCACATACACATACATCTGTTGTTGTTAAGTGCTGTCAAAGTCAGTGCCTTTCCCAATTTTAAATCCTACAGAGGATTTTCCTATCCTACAGCGCCGCACCAGGACTCCATAGATATAAAATCCACCACTCGTCTGTCTGTCAGCCTGTCATACTGTGGTGGCTTGCATGTTGCTGGGATGCTGGAAGCTCTGCCACCGGTATTTCGAGTAACAGCAGGGTCAGCCACGGTGGACAGGCCTCAGCAGAGCACAGCAGCATTCGCCTGTGGCCCTGGCACCTGCCACCTGGTAGAGGCACAGAGCTTGAGACAGTGCCGCCTCTCACAGGTTCCACTGGGGCTACAAAAGGCCATGCTTTCCGCATGCGCAGTCTTCAACATTCTAGGTTCACGAGTCTTCTGCTTGAAAGGTTGCATGGAGTTTTGTGGTTTGTTTTGTTTTGAGTTTAATCTGTGAGAGTGAAGTAAAACTCTGCCCTGGGCTTGACCAGAGCTTTACAAAACCCCAGAGTAGCCATGAAGGGTTGACCTGGAGCGCCCAAGACTTCAGGCCATGGATGGTCAGCCTTTCAATAAAGTCATCCTTTCCAGAAAACGCCCCAGCTGAAGATCGAATGACTTCAACTGTACCTGCCGCCTTCCAGATGAATTCAGCCTGCATCCCTCAGACTCCACAAGAATTACTAACTAAGAATTTAACTGCCAGTTTAAAGAAGTCCTTGGGGCTCCTGATTGTCCAGCCATAAGGGCCTTCCTGCAGCCCCAATCCCCTCTCCTGTCCCCACAGTGACTCTCTTTGAATTCCTGGACTTCTTCAGGAATCCCACCCTCGGGCCTGTCCCACTCCCACCTTAGAGGAAGGGCCTCTCCTAGACCAGGTGAGGCACAGGAAGAGGGGTCCAGCCTGCCCACCTCCACTACCTGCCCTCATCAGTGAGGCAGACTAGGATGCCCCACCTGCCCACACCTCCGCCTCCCAGATCGGGCTGCTTCACCAACACTGTCATAGGCCACAAAGGCCAGTCAATGCAGAGAACGTACTGATGCCAAAGCCTACAGCAGAAAAGCAACCTACACATGCAACGCAGTCCCAATCCAGAGAGTCCAACAACATTCTTCAGAGAGGTGGAAAAAACAATTACAAACTTTATATGGAAAGGAAAGAGACCCAGGATAAGCAAAGCACTGCTGAAGAAGAAGAATAAAGTTGGAGGCCTGTCACTCCCTGATTTCAAATTTTACTTCACGGCTACAGTGGTCAGAACAGCCTGGTGCAGAGTCCTGATCTAAAGGGGGAAAACACAAGAGAATAGCAAATGCTCTTGGAATCCAGACTTTCTGGAGCCATGGACGTTGGAAATACCTCTGAAACCACTGTTCTGAGACTATCACTAAACCTTAAACCAAAAGAAAACCCCAAAACATGTAGAGCCAAAAAAAAAAAGTTAAAAATCTCACATTTTCAGAACACAAGGACCCAGCACTCACTCGAGAAGGTGGGCAGAGGCGGCTGGCAGATGACAGGAAGCAGCTCTGTGGGAGCAGAAAAGGTGTGCGGGATGCGACTCTCCTTTGAAAAGGTGGCACGTAACCCCCAGCCCTTGAGCACGGGCTGGACCCACCGAAGAAAGGCTGCGCTGGAGACGCAGCGGCTACACCATGAAAGGCCTGCGCCTCTCCCTCACACTCTGGTTCTGAGACAAACAGCCGCCATGCTGCAAGGTCACTCAAACTGTCCGAAAGAGAAGTCCACGTGGCAGAGCACTGAGGCCTCTTGCTCATGTCCACATGAGTGGGCTTGGGAGCAGCCCCCCGGCCCAGGTAAGCCTTCAGGTGACCCCGTAGGAGACCAAGTCAGAACCACCAACACTGATAGGTGACTTGGCAATTCCTGACCCTCAGAAAGTTACAGGACAGCAGACATTTGTTATCTGAAGCTACTAAGTTCAGGCTGCTAACACAAGATCAGCGGTTCAAACCCACCCATCACTCACGGAAACCCTACACAGGGTCACTATGAGTCGGAACTAACTCGATGGCACACAACAAGAAGCCTGGACTAGTAAAATGATCTTGAGTTTTCATTTTTATTGATGGTGATGGATTAAATAGAGGCCAACAAGATTAGAGTCAAAGAAACCAATTAGGAGGAAGTCAGTAGGCAAGGAGTTAGCAGGAAGCCTGAGGCAGGACAGCTGTGGGAGGGATGGAACAGGGGTGGGTTAGGAGCATGCCCAGGAGACTACCAGGCCCACGGACTAAGGGATGGGGCAGCAGAAGAGGGGGAAGCAAAAAGATTTTTTGGTGTCTTTGGGGGAAGAGGGTGAGATAATGTGTCAGGAACAGTACAGAAACGAAACAAAGGAGGCGGAAAGGGAAAGAGATAAAAAGGAAAGGAGACCAGCAGCTAGCGTCTTTGGGAAGCAGACACATAGTGGAGTGGCCATATGGAATCTACCTCCAACTGAGCATGACTCACCAGGGAGGCAGCAGCATTCCTCCTCCTCGGAACACTCACACCTAACGCCCAGGGCTCTGAGGAAAGGCACTATGGTCAATAAGGAAAGCCCACTCTCAGGATATGCACCTCTCACAGACACCGGGAGGACCACTCCAGAGACCCCTCCAGCAGGACCCCCAAGGCCTCCCATCTCCTAGTGTGTGGGTAGAGTATCTGCGCCATCCACACAGGGCCACTGAGCCCCTGAAATGCGGTTAGTGTGTCTGAGGAGCCGAATGGCTATTTGATTTACGATGAAATGGACTCTAGATGGGACTCTCGTGCCACTGTTCCCCCACCCAGGCTGGTCCAGGTACAGTCCACCTGGGCCCAGACCCAAGCAGCAGACTTCCTATGACACACAGGACACCTGCTTTGGAGGGTGATGAGCTTTTAGACCCAACACCCAGCGTAAAAGTAGGGAGTCCATTTCCCAGATGATGGGGGAGAGGGGCCAGAGGTCAGGGAACTTGCTAAGGCCACAGGTGACCATGGCGGAAGGCCTGTGCACCAAGCCGGGCCCCTGCCCGAGAGCCCTTGTGGGAAGGAAGCGTTGTGTCAGTGGGGACCTGGGGGTAGGCTGCTGTCTCACCACTGTGACCTTAGTCGCCCGAGGGTCTCTCCTTCCCTACACTGACAGTCAACATCGCTAAGCCCCAACCTCATCGCATCTGCTGCCTCCACTCTTCCACACTCAGAACTATCAAGCAGACACTAACAGAACCACGCAGACACAGGGCGCACAGGAACCCCCAATGACGCCACCTCCAGCTGAGCTCTTAGAGACCCCCACAAGCAGGTTACCAAGTATGAGGGGGCTTCAGAGAATTCATGGAAACATTCTGTTCTCTTTTCATTCCATTTTCCACAAACTTTCTAGGCCCTCCTCTGATGTTCCTGTGAGCATAACTATCCCTTCCCAGTAAAACACACAGGATCCAGGGTCTTCTGACATAGTCTGTTGTTGTTGTTGTTAAGTGCCGTCGAGTCGGTTCCGACCCATAGCGACCCTGTACAGGGTTTCCGAGGGTGTAAATCTTTATGGGAGTAGAAAGCCTGATCTTTCTCCCGTGAAGCAGCTGGTAGTTTCGAACTGCTGACCTTAAGGTTCGCAGCCCAATTCGTAACCACTACGCTACCAGCAGATTCTATTTCTCTCCTGACCCGCGGCCGAGGAGACAGCGACGCTGATGGTGTCCTACTTCAGCTGCAGCGTTTCCTTCTGGATCACAACTCAAAAGCATCTCTACATCCCTACAGGAGGTGTGTGTGGGCCTCCCACAAACCAGGCCACCCTCAGGAAACCCCGAGGGAACAGCGTGCAGGGTGAGAGCGGGCAGTTCCGATGGCATCTCCTGAGAAAAGTGGCCTGGGCTACAGGGGGGGCCCTGGAACCATATCTCTCACGTCCCAGACACCCTACCTGGGACACCTGCAGCTCAGGTCCCTGAGCTTCCCCAGGCTCTGCCTGCGTAACGCAGAGCACAGTCTTCTTAAGACCTGGAGACAACCCATGAGCTCGGTGTTCTCAGACTCCCCTTGCTGTTAAGTCCCGACACACAGCGATCAGACCCTGTGCCATCCTCACCTTGGTGGTGGCTGTGTGCCGTGGAGTCGGTTCTGACTCACAGAGACCCTCTACAGGGTTTCTGAGGCTGTAAATCTTTATGGAAGCAGAAAGCCTCATCTTTCTCCCACGGAACCACTGGCAGTTTCAAACTACTGACAGTGAGATTGATTAGCAGCCCGACTTGTAACCACTATGCTACCAGAGCTCCTTAGTTCAAAGAAATCCAAATGGCCAAATTCACTCAGCAAAGCAAACACTGACCATTCTCCAAGATCAGCCTTACCCTTGGGGGGTACAGCTCCCGCCCAGCCCCCCAAAGTCGGCATGTTCAGTAGCCACCCCAGGGCCTTACCCGTGTCATTTTTAACAAGTCCAAGGCCGGGCGCGTCCACCGTGTATCCTCCTCACGTCTCCGCTTGCGCCGGCTCTTCCTCTCATCGAGCACACACGGCTGTGAGCGGCTCCGTAGAAGGCCCTGGCGCCGGCTCAGCTCAGGTGTGGCGGTTGGGGTGCTGCTGGCTGAGGGCAGGGCACTGGCGGTGTCAGTGATGTGCTCCTGTGACAGGGACAGACGGCGCCGCGAGGAAATGCTGCCCTCACCGCCATCCATGAAGCTGCTGCTGGCCGAGGCCGGCCTGGGGGCTGTGGGCAGGGGCGAGCTGGCTGCAGGGTGGGCATGGCTAGGAGGCACAGTAGCCCGTGGCAGGCCGGCACTCCCATGGCCACTGCATCGTTGCAGTGTGGCGCTGCCACCGCTGTTACACCGCCTCTTGGAGACCGGAGTCCAGACCTTGGAGCCACCTGGCCTCCAGGGGGACCGGCAGCGTGCCAGCTCGTCGGGCTCTGACAGGGACCGGCAGTGCCGTTTGGTCGGCGGTGCCAGGGGCTGCCCTGAGTGTTCGCTGAGGCTCACGTCGCTGATACTGGCCAGGCCCACCGATGGGATAGGTGACTCCGGTCGCCACTGGAGCCCCATGGTGTGAGCCGAACCGAATGGGCCAGGCGGGAAGGGGAAGGCAGGACCCTGGGCTGCCTCGCTGCGGACCGACCGTCCTCCACTCACAACCTTCCAGGGGCTTTTGTCAACTGAGGAGACAGGAGAGGGCGGAGGAGAGAGAGTGAGCAGTGGTTATGCGGCAACACAAGTCACACGGACCAGACCGGCTCTGCCCTGGCGGGTAGGCGGGGAGCCGAGCCTAAAAGCACAACTAGGAGAGCTCAGCTCGCCTGGCCTGCCTGCCTGCCTGCAAGCCTCATCTCCTCGAAGTATCTGCAGGCAGATGGAGGTGTGCCCCCCTGCACTTGCCAATGGCCTCTCAGTGGCCGCTGTGTAGCCTCAGGAGGGTGCACAGTCCTAGGAGCCTAACCTCTGTGACAGGACCAGATTCCTCTGCTCTGGAGTCCGTTTCACTAAAGCACTTTCCTTTTCTGGGGCCAAGGAACCCACAGAGCCGATCTCTGAGAGCTGCGCATGCTCCTGAAGCTGGCAGGGTGGGGGGCAGTGTTAGTGTGCTGTCCTTCTGGACAAGTCCACCTCTTCCCACGGGACCTGGCTGGCAGGGACTCCTACAGCAGCTGTACCTGGGTCTCAACTCCCGGCTTCCCCACAGCACATGCCTCCCAGTCCGGCCAGGTGTGTCTGTTGGGAGTGACCAGGGCCAGCCCTGCCATCAGAAGCTGTACTCGCCTTTAGCATCAGTGCCAGACCAGACGGACGGGAGCCCACAGTGGCCTTCCCTGCGTCTGACAGCTTCAAAGAGTCAGGAGTAAAATCGAAGCTCACACTCCCTGGTCTAGAGCTGCCCAGAGAACAGTTCCTTCCCCTTCCATCAGGTTCAGGGTGAACCAGGGCACTGTCTCAAAAGGAGGTGTCCAGCTGAGGCGCCTGAGGGGTGGGGATGAACTTAGAGGAGACTGGATGGACAGCGGCATGCGGTCCAGCCATGAGGGAAGCAGGAAGGTGAGTGGGGATGCACGGTGAGGCTCAGAATGCGGTGTCCATGACTCATTAAGGAATGTGATAAAAAATCTCTTGGCTTCGTGGTCCATTTCAGAGGACATCATCGCTCATGCCCACCCTGTGGCAGACCCTGCAGCAGCTGGCCTGTCCATCGCACACCGACCAGCCTGTGCACCTCTGCACCAGACCCGGCCTCCCAGCCGATGCCCACGGGGTCTCGCTGGGGGTGGGAACTGACACTGGGGCTGAGGTCTGCCTGACTGGAAAGCCACTCTGCCTTCCCTCTCCATTCACCTCCTCCTTCAAAACACCACTGACAGGCGCATCAGACCACAGTCCACAAACCACACACACCTGTTTCCAAGCAGGGACGTCCCCCCACCTCCCCAAGCATGCCTCCCAACTCCCTCAAGGTGACCGCTGAGGGTGTCCACACAGCAGACACATTCCGTCCCACAACTGGTTCTGGGGTTGGTTGTGGCAGAGCTTCTGACAAGGCCATGGATACCGTCTGCCTGCTGCCCTCTGAGTGGTCCGAGATGTACCACCACTGGGCACCTCCAGGTCCTTTACAGAAAGGGAGTAATGGCAGTTCCCGGGGCTGCCAGCAGGGGGCTGCAGGACCCCATGGAGTAGGCATTGTACTTGGGCACCTCTTCAGAAAAAAAGGCAATTCCCAAAACTACCAGAAGGGGCGCTGTTACTGTTCAAGAGACCCCAGGCAACAAACAGTGCCCAGACTGGCCCTGATGGCAGGCACCACCTACCGGATACCCTCCAACCAGTGGACCAGCAAAGGGAAGGGGCAGCTGTGGAGGCCCTTCTAGCCTCCCCAAGGCGCAAGACAAACAATGCCTGGGCAAGGCTATGAAGGTCAAGCTCCGGGTTTGACCCGATTACCCAGACCCCACCTCCGCCCTCCAAGCTCAGAGCACAGCCCCCATGTCTCTGCTCCCCAGGGCCCACGCCAAGCTCAGGAAGACCCAGGGCCTTTCAACACTTACCATTGAGGTCAAAAGGAAACAAATTGCGGCCTTTGTTCACTTTCTCTGCAGAATACTGAAAATGACAAGAAACATGTCAATACACGCGAACTGTCAGCACCACTCCCCCAGCCCAGAAGTCTTCCTTGCTTTTATCACTGCAGCAAATCCTGTTTTCCTAGCATTTTCTTTTTGCTGATTAAAAACAGACATTGGCCTCTGGAACCCATTACTTTTTCTTAATGGACATTTTTTGTTTTGTTTTGTTGTGGGTTTTTATTGTCTTCTGTGTCACCCAAGTTAACACATCAGCATTGGACTGAAAACAAGGTCAGCAGTTCAAACCCACCAGCTGCTCCTCGAAAAGCCTATGCAGCGTTGCTATGAGTCAGAACCAACTCAGCGGTTTCAGTGACTTTACAACAATAACTCTGTTTACTGAGCAGAAATAAACACCACAATCCTCAAATCTAGGCATCATTCCTGCCCATTGGGTTGAGCACACCTCACTACTAGGGCCTGTTTCCCTGAGGTAACTCCAGGTGCAGGGCCCTAGCCCCTGGTCCAGGGCTCTTAGGGGGCTCCATAGATTAGAGATGGAGTGTCTAATCTATCTGGGGTGGGCGCAAATACACAGAACAGAACCCTCCTCAGGCACGCACTTTGCTGCCCGTGAATCCTGTCTCCACCACAGTCCACATTTGGAACTACAGGTTTGAGGATACCCCTGTCCACCACTCAAAACTGTCTCACACAGTGGCCGTCTGCCCAGCATGCTGAGCCCCCACGTCACATCTACTCAGGCCCAAAGCCGTGATGCCTGCTCTCCCAGGGCGGCTCCTGCAAGTCCTCTGTCCAAATCTATGTCCCCTCGGTCTCTCCCGGCCCACCAGCACACAGCCATGCTCTGCTTTGTCAGTCTTTAAAAAAACACCAGTGGCCCTGCGTCCCCAGTCTATCTGCCAGCCAGTGCCGTGACAGCGGACCTCTCTGTCTCCCAGGGCCCCTTCTCACTTCACTCTCTGGCCTGTCAGGCTCGCCGACAGACTCCACGTGTCCACTCCAGGGTCAGCCCACAGTTCACCGGACCCGAGCGGAATGGTCAGCTGACCCTTCCTCCTTCAGTACATGTTGTAGAAAACATGAGGTGAGTGTGTTTACTGGAACTCAGACGAGCCTTCAGCGAGTAAAGGCTACACCACGGACCATGCCTCAACAATACGAGGAGAGACCTGCCAGGACACAGGACAACTTGACAGGTCGCCAGGGGAATCACAATGAAGATGACACACTGAGTCCACAGGTAGAAACTTCGTCAGCAGACTGACTAATGGCTGCCCAGGGTTAGGGAATTCGTGGAAAGGAGAGTTGCTTGTGAAAGAAAAACTGGGCTGACAGGAATGTCCCCATGCCTTGACTGTACCCACGTCCGTGTCCTAGTTTCGAAGGTGCTACTCAGAAGGAAAAGAAAGAAATGCAAACATGCATCCACCCACTCCCCAATGAAACCTGGAATATACAAGCATGAATCGAGGAAAATTGGAAGCTGTCAAAAATGAAATGAGGCACCTAAACATTGCTATCCTAGGCAGTAAGTACTGAGCTGAGATGGACTGATACTGGCCATTTTGACTCGGATGATCATATGCTCTACTATGCCAAGAATGACCAACTGAAGAGGAATGGGGTCGCATTCATCGTCAAAAAGAACATTCCAAGCTCTATCTTGAAGTGCGCCATGGGTGATAGGACTAATAGATGACTGGTATTCAAATTTAAAGGCGTTCTGGTAGCATAGTGGTTAAGAATCGGGCTGCTAACCTCAGGGTCTGCCGTTCTAAACTACCAGCTGTTCCACGGGAGAAAGATGAGGCGTTCTGCTCCCGTAAAGAATTACAGCTTCAGAAACCCTGTACAGGGTCGCTATGAGTCAGAACCGACTCCACGGCACATAACAACAACAACAACAATTCAAATTTAGGAGTCCTCGTGTGGCGCGTGGAGTTAATGTACCAAACTACAAAGCCATTTGAACTGCAAGGTCGGCAGTTCAAGCTCACCAGCTGCTCCTTGGAAACCCTATACAGAATCTCTACGAGTCGGAACCCACTCAACAGCACTTCACAACAACAATTTGAATTTAACCTCTAAAGCCCAAGATGAAGAAACTGAAGATTTATACCAACTTCTGCAGTCTGAAATTAATCAAACACGCAATAAAATGCATTGATAATTACTGAGGACTAGAATGTAAAAGTTAAAAACAAAGAATATGGATCAGTAACTGGAAAATAAGCCCATTGTGCCGTGGAGTCGGTTCTGACTCATAGCGACCCTGTACAGGGTTTCCGAGGCTATAAATCTTTATGGGAGCAGAAAGCCTCATCTTTCTCCCGCGGAACAGCTGGTAGTTTCGAACTGCTGACCTTGAGGTTCGCAGCCCGATTCGTAACCACTACGCTACCAGAGCTCCTCATAGCAACCCTGTACAGGGTGTCTGAGGAGCAGCTGGTGACCTTGAACCACTGACCTTGCAGTTCAAACTGACCTTACAGTCCAGCGCATTAACCCATAGCGCCACACCAGGACTCTGTGAGCATATCCCACTTGAGTTTAGAGATGAACTCAAGAATACATTTGACTAATTAAATACTAATGACCAAAGATGAGACAAGCTATGGGATGACATCAAAAACATCATACATGAAGAAAGCAAAAGGGCATTAAAAAGACAGGAAAGAATTACCAACTGCTCCGAAAAGAATCACATTAGAAGGTCTTATATAGAGTAGGAAAAACGTGGAACAAAACTCAAAATCATTTTTAAAAAAAGGTCAGGCTCACTGGTCAGCTAGAGACTGGTCGAAACCCAAGACTATGGCCCTCAGTCACTCTTCAGATCTGAAATAGAGTTCATCTCTGTGGCTCAACACTCAGCCAGGTGATTAAGTCTATAGGGGAACACCAATGAGTGAGGTACACCATAGAATGGTCAACCTTTCCAGATCGAAAAGGCAGCATTTATCCAAGGACAAAGTGTAGAAGGACTGGGAAAGGAGGAGGAGGAATGGAAACATGAAACACAGAAGGGAGCGGAATCAGTGAGGTAGTCCATGGAGCGGCTGAGAACTACTAAGATGAAACAAGGTGCATGATTTGTTGGATGTAAAAGTGATGATCTTTTCTGTAAACCTTCACTTAATTCACAACAAAAAGTTTAAAAAACAAGAATCACATTTTACTAATGCCAAGCCATCAAACTGCTCTGTAGTGGGACAAGGCAGGGTATTCTGTTCCTATTTTTGACAAAAAACTCATTTGCTACATCCATAAGAGCAAATGAAGCTTCACCGTTGGTAACACTGTCCAATGACAAAACAGATTCAAATATTTGCCCCAAAGTACCTGCTGATGACTAATACACTGTATAACCACAGCTTCCATGTCCACAGGCTTTGTAACTTTGGCCAGCTCAGCCTTCTTCTACTCTACACAAACATTTGCCCTTGTAAAACATCTTTACAGATTCTACTTCAGTCTGCACTGAATTCGTGTTTCCATATAGACTACTCACTTCTAGTTCAGTGTGAACGTCTCAATTCAGCAACGGGAAAGGGGCCCTGATGACGCAGTGGGTTTAGTGTTGCTGCAAGGTCAGCAATTCAAACCCAACAGCCACAACTTGGGATAAAGATGAGACGTCCTGCTCCTGAGAAAACGGAGTCTCGGAGACACTGAGGAGCAGTTCTCCTCTGTCCAGTGGGGTCACTATGAGTCGGAAGTGACTCGATGGCATGGTTTAGGTTTGGGCTTGCTGAATGGTATCAGTAACACCTATCAATTCATCATGGAGGCCAAAAAACATTCAAAACTATTTGCTTTGCTTTTTAATTGACTACAGATATTGTTCCCAATGTTCTCTCCCGAGGGCTAACGGTCTTAAACCGGCTCATTTTCTCTGGACACATTTTTTTTCAATTGCTGCAATCAAACACAATTTCATTAACTCTCCATCAGCAAATGGCTCTCCTTATTTGGCTAACAAAATGAGCCTCTCTGAAACTTATTTTGGTTGCAGTCTCGTTTTCCCTTTTTATTTTCATAAAGACATTCTGCTGTGATGAGCGATTCTCTGTTAAATTTTCTAAGTTTTCCCACCCGGCTTTCTGAGCACTGGGAGGCAAACCCGCTATGATGGGAACTCCATCTGCTGGCGACACGGGGATGCTCTTCATTTCCTAAAGCCCTGGGGTCACTGCAGGAGCAACACCAGGCCTTGCTAACAACGTCACAAGCGACAGAGCCTACAGGCCACTCTGCCTGAAAAGCACACCCTCCAGGGCCTGCTTTCCTCTGCATTTCTTGTTCGGACAACTGGATAATCCCTGGTCATTCGATAAATGAATAAAACCTTGTGCGACAGCAACACACATGGTTATGAAAGAGTGTCAAGGTTCAAGTTCATTCACTCGCATCGCCATCGAGTTAACTCTGACTCATAATAACCCTGCACAGGGTTTCCAAGGAGCAGCTGATGGGTTTGAACCACTGCCCTTGTGGTTTAGCAGTGCAGTGTTTATCCCACGTTGCCATACCAGGCCTCTGCGGTCCAGCTGGATCCCTGAAGTTTATGGTGGAGCCACGTCAGTGCGAAGCAAAGGGAGAGGGTGGGCACCACATACAGTCAGTTGCAGCTACTCAAATCTGCCGTCACAGCTGAAATGTTCATGGGGCCACAAAATTCTTTTTGTTTCTTTTCATGTTTATAACTGTCAAAGTCATCTGTCACTCAAAGGCTATACGAAAACAGGATGTGGGCCAGCAACCTGCAGTTTATTGACCCGGGCTCTAGAGCACTGCTCCTCAGACCTCACCCCGTATCAGAGGCACACCCAGGGGACTCATTAAACTGCAGGTTCAGATTTGTGTAGGTCAGGAATGGGGAGCCCAGGCTCCTGGAGAGGACACTGCCAGTTTGTAGGCCACACTGCCACTGTGGCAGCAAAGATCTGAACGACACTGTCCACCCACCCACACATCCCTTCAAATAGTGTCCTTCTCACCGAAACCACGTCA